CACCTTTTTGAGACTGTCATATGTAAATTACTTCCATATATACTTTATAATGAGAGCTTTACTTACTTAAATATGTCTGTATTTTACCGTGTTAAAAAACAATGTCAAGGTATTAGATATTTTGTTGAGAAAGCGATAAATATTTTGTGAGATAAATGAAAGACGGAAAGATAACAAGAAATCATTAAAATTCGATATTTCAAATAACGAATAAATGCAAGTCAACAATTAATGAAAGGGAAAGAAAAGTCGACGGTCAGTGATGGAAAGAGCAAGAGAAGGGAGAGTCCGCTGCCAGACCATCCCGCGGTGTGTGCAACGATTATTCTTTGTCAAGCTAATGGCTTATACTGATCGCCTGTCTGTTTGTCCTCTTCTTCCCTGGGCCGACATTTTCCGTGTTGCTTTGGCTGCAAGTAAATTTTGCCTATTCTTCCCACAAGTTTTGCAGTTTGTTCACATTATTCACAATTCTATAGTTACAAGTACGGCTATTTAATTACCTTTCTATAAAAAGTGTTTTTTCTTTGTGAGGTATTTTAGCCTCGTAACCCAAGACTAAAAGATGGTGGGTGGGGAAGAAGGGAAGGAGGGAATGAAAGAAATAAAGGTATTGTAAATTATCTGTGTGTGAGTATTTCAGTTCATTCTTATTAAATTAAGGAAAATTCGCGGTGGGAATGTAACCTCCACTGGGAGGAGGAGGAGGAGGAGAGAGAGAGAGAGAGAGAGAGAGAGAGAGAGAGAGAGAGAGAACAAAAATAAAGTAAAGCATTATAGAGGGGGAGACTCGGGGTCAATTTGCGAGTTAAGTGTAAGATGAAAGGCCAAGCTGAGGTTAGGTCAAATTGGGTTATTTGGTTGCCGGGGGTGCGATGAACTACACACTGTGCCAGACTACCAATATATCTGATCACCACCCGCGAGTGTTTCTTTCTGAAGCAACGGTCAGGAATCTGGGATACGGAATCAACCAAGTTAAAAAAAAATCGGCTGAATTTGGCGATCCATCTTGTGGTTAGTGACTAAGAAGTGAAATGTTAAGCGAGGAATCCTTAGACTTGAGGTGGATGTAATGGACTTTGAATTCCTAATTAATCATGCACTTAAATATAAAAATATAGTGAGAAAGGGTTTATATCACGCCAAGCAAGAATAATGATGCCTTTAGCGCTTGATCTTGGCAGAGCGTCTCAAGCTGCAAGGATAAACTGAGCGAGCGAGCAGTAGGTTGTGGCTACATTATCCTCTCGCCTCCACCATCTTCACTCCAACACCATCGAATTTCAAACATTATTAAATAATATCTATAAAAGTATAACCTTAGAGTTGCTATATAATATTACTAAAACAATATGAACGGATTAAATTAAATAACCACATAAATGTTTTGGTGAACTTTTGGAGACGATGATCACACCTCTTCCTTCTCGCAGAGTTGCAGTCAGGCTAACGACTGACCCGCCCGCCCGTGGCCAAGAGCAATCCTTGGCACCCATTTCTGCCGCTCTCTCCTGATATATTGGACGCTGTGCCAACTATCACGGCCTTGGCCTGAGATCCTTCCCCTTCCTCTCACAAGAGCTGAGGTCAAACAAAAACTGCACCAATTTATTGTGAGCTCAGCTTCTGACTCTGGCAACACTTGATAAATACTTTAACAAACCTTTAAAAAATAACATTGATTTTACTAAACGATAGAATAAGTATAACAAAAGCTCTCGTCTATACTGTATTGCTCTCTGGTATTACTGAAGACAGGTAAATTAATCCTTGTTAAAGCTGATGTACTGTACTAAAAATACAATGTTTCAAACGCATTAAGTTTTTATTAATACAGCAGTACAGTTTTTGTACGTACGCGCCAACATATTCAATGGTGACGTAACTTTTTTAAGTTTACTTTTTCTACCTCGACTACTGGGGTCATCAATGGTACTCATCAAGGTACTATTCATCAGTCATCATGGTACGACCTTTGACTGTCTACCAACCTCAGCCAGCACGAGACAGTGTTGCCAGACCTTCGCTTCAAGGATTATGCTTAACCACTTAATAAATAAACCATCCAAAAATTAAAGAAATCCGGCAAAATTTGAAATAATTCGCAAAATAATAATAATAATAATAATAATAATAATAATAATAATAATAATAATAATAATCGGACTGCCAATCACTTCTCGACTAGTATTTGGTGTCAGAAAGTCACAAAAAATTGGAAAACTTAATTTAATCTGAGTTGTGTTGTGTTAGGTTAGGTTAGGTTAGATTCGATTAGGTTAGGTACATACACTTGATCTATTAACTCAGATTAAATTAAGTTTACCAATTTTTTTTTGACTTCGTGACACCAAATACTAGTCGAGGTTAGGTTAGGTTAGGTTAGGTTAGGTACATGCACTCGATCTATTAACTCAGATTAAATTAAGTTTACCAATTTTTTGTGACTGACACCAAATACTAGTCGAGAAGTGATTAGCAGTCCGATTTATTCATCTAGGACCATTATTTGACTTCATTCCAGCTATATTTGGCTACATTTGGGTACTTAGTCGGACCCGGCTTCCTTGCTTGCATATCATAATGACCAAGCGAGTTAAGTAGGCGTCGTAACTACCCATTGGTAACTACTGTATGTACCGATGGTTTATTGGTTCGACGTTTAGGTTTGTATATGAAGAGGACTCGGGCAGCTCAAAAAATGCCAATGACAGGAAAACCAATCGAAATCCTAAAGATCATTCTAACACCTCAAAAGCTCACATAACATAGGATTCACCACCTTTAAAAATACTAAACTATAATTCTGATAAAAAGATCGAGCAGTGTTTAAAGATTATCCAGACTGTTTGTAAAGGATCAGTGTCAATGAAAAAAAAAGTCACAACTCACGAAGAAAATGATGGCGCTGTGGATCGATGGGGCCTTTGTGTGTACTGCCAGCCACGTTAAGTTAAAGAATTGCTCCGTGTTGAGGGCGTCTGGCACGGTCGATGGCTGCTCACTTTCCACCCAAAACCAACCTTCCCTGCCTTATGCTAAACGCTCATTGATACTAGAAATATCGAATGGCTTGTTGGCGGTACAGAAATAGCCAACGAATAAATGTATATATGTTTATCAAGTATCACTATATGAACGTTTTTGTCCCCTCGGAACCTGTATAACTCGGGCAATTTATTTACACACCCAACAGCTACAGGGGCACTGGCGCCCATCAGCCTCTGTGTTGATTACACACTCACAACATTGTCAGCAGTATGGGAGGTGGATGGTGCTGCTTTGTTAGTTGGTATGCGTGGGAAGAAAGGGGTACAAAGTGAGTGGGGTGATGGTGAGAAAAATACATAGACTAATAACAGACCAGACGATAAATGACAATTTAATCAACACAGAGGCTGATGGGCGCCAGTGCCCCTATAACTGTCTATGACTATATGGGCAGACAAACATTTCCCAGGCTGGTGTGTTCGCGAACGATACGAGTGACCGGCTAAGAAAACGGCCCAATGAGGCATAATTACCACTACTAACCTTCATTATAACTGTCATGATCGTTTAGGTCAGCAGCAGGACGTGATGAAGGCAGTTAATATACCAAAGACACGGGTTACATCCTTAAACATTATTACAAAATCGAAGCATTCAAACCCAGGCGTCATCAGAAAATGTACCGTTGTGTTTCACCGACGCGACACTGAATAAATGATTGCATTAATGGAACGAGGCACTGACACATTTAACTAATTTCACCATATCCGTACCTTTGCGAGTCTCCTTTACTTGATTGATTTTCAAACAATCTTCTTTCCTTGTACAAAAAATGGTAATTACTTCACACAGATGAGAGCAAATTAATTCCTTACATGATGTGAAGGATGGAATGTATTACTTGCAGTCATAGTCTATGCTAGCAGAAAACAACAAGGAACTACAGTGGGTAAGGATGCTGTTATTACTCACTATTTATAGGTCCTTACAGGTCAGCACCAGCAGGAATACATCCACGATGCTTGACAAGTGGCGAAGAGGATAAAGAATGCAAAGGATAGTAATAAAGTCGAAGCACAATTGTACAGAAAGCCTCACTTGACCGCGTCCCCACAGTAGTCCCCGCCTAAGGCTCCGAGTTCGAAAATTTATAAAAAAAAAAAATTACAAGAGAAAAATCCTCTACCAAAAAAAACTCTTTAAATATATAAATAAAGAATTCCAGAAAATAAAACAATCTCAACTGAATGATTTTTCGTATATTAGATCTGATGTTATTATATATGAATGCACTTAATGGCTTTGAGTTGCCAAGTATCTAATATGTTTAGTCGGTGAATTTTCCCATAAAATTTCAACCCTTTCTAGAGCTATTGCCTATGATCTTTTCCCACATAACTCCCAGTAACATAGAATACTTATTACTTCTCCTAGGTTAGATCTGAGACAAAGGATGATAAAATATTTTAAAGGGGTATAAACAATGACAATCTTTTACCCTATCATTGTTGGACCTCTCCAATTACATACAGTAGTTATGTAACCCTTGCAACTTCTCATTGTTAAAGTAGACTTGTAACTTCTCTTTGTAATATTTTTTCTATCCCACTGAAAATTACAACTTTTATGTCCAGTCTTATCTTTAGTTGACATTTCTTGTTTCTTTAAGTACTAATGCCAACTCAATTAAATGTTAATCATTTTATAGTTGAAAGATTACTGTACTTGGTAAGTTATGAGGTAAATTTTTACAAGTGAACAACCATGGATTTTTTGTTAAGCAACACATTGCTCAATTACCAAAAAGCACCAAAACTAACTTACCCTAACAACGTAACTTAATGTAACCTAACCTACTGTGTTAGGTTTGTTGGTTGTCTACTTGTAAAAAAAAAATACCAGGTTTGAGTTAAGATTTATCGCTGAACATAATCATATAAATCCCTTATTATCAATGATGCTCATATACAGTACACAACAGTTTATGACAAGGTTGTAGAAAAATCTTTAAAATTTCAAAATCAATTTATTTGTCAGATATTCTATAAATGGAATATGTTCCATCAACTTTTTTAATTGCAGTGAAAACTTCAATAATACTCTCAAGTAGAATATAAATTTAACAACAGACATGACCCAACATATCCAGTCAATTACTGCAACACCACTTGAGCTCCTCACTTGATTTTACTCACATGTAAATCATGATGAAGCAACAAACTTAACTCACTTTTGGGACAAGACACTGGCCAATGATGCAAATGCAATTCACAATTTCACAACATAACACTGGGGTAAATTTTGATCTGGGTCACAAACTCAACTTGGGTAACATTGCACCATTATGAATCTACTAATCAATGTATTGCAACATATGAATTTTGTTGCAACCATTGTCTTAAAATGTTCAAGCACAAGAATATAATAAGAGTACCAAAAGCAAGCAGAGCAAAGGCAGGAATCTATAGTATTTTGCACTGAAAATAAACAAGTGCACAGGAATTCAGCATTCTACAATTTCTTTTTTATATATAAAATTAAGTACCGTACTGTACATATGATTTACAGCAGAAGCATTAAATATTTCATGAGTAAAAATGAATTATAGGACAACCTGTTACATGACACAAAAACTGTTAAGTAACCCAGTCAATGATAATAACCTGAAATAGATCCTTGATCAGTACCAAACACGGCATATTTCATAATGCAGTCACTACACAAACACCTATCATTCTGTGTAACTTGTTAATTTGACACTCATAATTTAGGGTATACTGTACTGTACTATACATTACAAGAAGAAAGAAGTCTGAAGACCCATTATTCATTAACCATTGGATTTCACAAAGGCAATTTTGTCCTTTCCTACAGAATAACCTTTCACACTACTGTACTGTTACAAGTGTGAGCGAACTAAACTCCTGTACAAAATGGAAATTGATGTTTATTAACTTCACAGAATTCTTATACTGTACTGTACTGTACTGCACAGTATTTCGTTTTATATTTACATAAGAACATAAGAATGGAGGAAACTGCAGTGGGTCTACTGGGCAGTCCCATTTACACCCAACCCTTGACCATCTGTGTTATCTATTGAAAAAAAGCACACTAAAGTACGTAACCATGACAAATTAAAATTTGTAATTTAAAAATCATTACCCACCTATGACAGTACTAGCACACTTAGGTGCAGCATTGTTTAGGAAGATGCCTCTGTTCCTCCATCCACTAACCATCTACACCTTCATCCAACAATGCTCGGCCAACACAAGCAACATCCATCTTCAGTACAGTAAGTGAAATACTGTAGTAAAATAATGTTTTATCTTGTTTGATTACGTTTTAAGGTAAAAATTCTTTAGGCTGGAGCATATCTAACTTTATAACATGGGGATTTTGGGTTGAAAATTTTCAGGCTGTAACACAGCTTTTAACATGTGAACCTATGAGAAAATGGGTCCCATTGGTCATTAAGCGGAACCTTCCTCATGGGAAATCTTTACTAGAAATGCCTTTGGATCACTATGAGTGAGGTCAATCTGTATTCTACAAATATTTGTATTTATTACAATTATTAAAAAAAGTAGATAACCAATGATTAATTAACTCGAATCATTTAACACCCAAGCAAAACCCTTTTTGAGTTCAGATTATGGAATAAGTATTGTATCCTAATATATGTTGTCTTCAGCTTAAAAGTTCCTTAGTAGAAGTAATGTACAGTACAGCAGTGTAATTTAATAGGTTAATATAATAAAGAAAATGGTGCTATGGGAATACTGTTCTTAGCATCACCTGAAATCTTTTCAAAGTATCATTTAAACAAAATATTGATCACTTACAGATTAAGCACCCTGAAGCTACTGAAGGGGGGGAGGAGGGCATAGGTTAAGTTAGTGTTATGTTGCTTAATATTCAGAAGCAATAAGCTGGGTTACCTAATCTTCAATGTCAAATCACAGTTTTGTACAGTATTATATTGTAGTACTGTAGTAAATACCATAAGACATGAACTTCTCAATAAGGTGACAAAAATTTGTAACTGCAGAGATACAGAAGGTTGCAAAGTTTGTAAGTTAACTGGGGAGATCTATCACAGTATTGCCAATGAACAGTGTCACATCAACATTAATGCTGCTACTGTATATATTAATTAATTCCATCATCACAGACTCTTCATATATAATATACTGTACAGTACTGTATATATAGACTTTCTCAACTATTTTAATCTTTATGGATATGTATATTTTTTTTCATAATTCTAAAACAAACCTTTTTGGTGATGTCATGGCAGAACTGAACCACCAAAAACTTAAACCTCTTTCTAAAACTTATTCTGAACACCAAATTACAACATAACTAGGAATATTATGAGGAGAAAATGGCTCCCATCAACTTACATCTTCGTAAAGTATACTGTACCACTTAAAAAATAGTCGCCTCATCACCCCGCCCTAAAACTGAACCCTAATCAGGCAAAAATCATCGAATGAAGCACTGACTCACAAAGATAATTCAAAATATATACCTGAAGCTAGATACAGGACAAGGAATGTCAATTTGACAAACTAGAGATTAATATCATGGAAAGAGCAGAAATGGAAATGAAAATCATTGTGCTTCATCTTGGTCAAATTCAATATGTATAAATGCACTAAGAGAACGATCTGCTTTTTCTTTCAGCTTAGAATAATGAAGAGGTAGAACTATACTGTATATTTTCTTGCAACTTGAAATTATTTTTAACCCTTAATATTTTGTTTTCCCTTTTCCTAAGCAATAAGGAGAAGATTGTTTTAGGTCACAAGTGTTTTAAATGTGCCAGAGATCATTAGTTTTTTCATCCTAACACATGACACGCTGATGAGATGAGGTAAATTTTTCATCCTCTGTAATTAAATCAAAACCTACATTATACAATAAAATATATAATTAATTACTGAAGATGTTAATCAGAAAACTAAAACAAACTAATCATATCTCATAATGTCATTCATCCCAACACCCAAATGGAACTAACAGCATCCAGAAGGTTGACAATAAACTCAATCATTAAGTATATCTCCTCAGGTATACTCATAAGAACCCAGGCCATTATTATTATTATTATACAGTATAGTTTAACAAGCACTGCTGACAGATGCATGTGCTTGCTTGTGTGTAAGGCTACTGAGCTAAATGCAAAAACATACATGACAACAACAACAACAATGCCAGAATGGTGACACTACCAACCTAGAAACTGGACGAGCTAAAAATTAATTCTCGGTACGACGGCCCCACTGAAAATTTTACAACAATATCTAGGGCTAAATTATGTACAGCTCCAGGTATTCTGCTGCTTAATCCATCATATATACAGAGAAACCTCTACTTGACAGACTACAGTACAGTATATGGAGATGAAAATCCATTATATCGAGGGTCCGTTAGATATGAAACGAACTACCAGTAGCTGTACATCTATGAAAGTCTGTTATAACAAGGGTCCTTTAAATGTGGAACCCCTGTCAAATAGATTATATGGAGAGATAAGTCCATTACATGGAGGATTCACTGTATATTATGTACAGTACTGAATTCATAAAAACTTTATTTCTCCTATACTTTCTCCATAAGGTTTGGTGCATCTGTTGGAGTTTGGTCGGTAAGTGTATTAAAATTGACAAGTATAGAACTCCAACAAATCATTCAGTGTTAAGCAGATACAGTCAATTACTAGAGTCCGTTCACCTCTCCCCCTGAACCACGAACCCCCCAAGATTCAGATTTGTGAACCCAAAGCAATAGACCGATACATTATTCAGTCCGTAAATGCTTAGGATTCATGAATCTGAATCTCGGGGGTTCATGGTTCATGGAAAGAGACGAATGTACTTTAGTAGAGCTGATTGGGAGCTTTGGTTTATTCCTGCAATTATTTTGATTGTAAAAAAAAAACACAATATAATCTGTCACAATAGGCAGAAGTTATATCAAAGAACAGGTTACGTAAGTACATAGTAGAAAGTATATAATGCATGAATTATGTAAAAAGTGCTGTGTATTATGAACACCATAATCTGTCTCCAACGAGAAGAACGCCTGTAAGTGCATGCAGCGGCACCCTACCAGTCGGAACCTTGTGGCCAATTTCGTCTTGTCGTCCACATGTTGGCGACGAAATGTATACCAGTGTGGCTGCACCCTAATTATACTGTACTAATTACTGCAGTCACTTCACTAACCCTAGACAAAATTACATCAACACAAACCACTGACAGTCACAACATAATTCTTAAATTCATTGCTTCAGAACACAGTTTTTGTACTGTTTAAAAATTAGTTGCTACAGATAGTTAACATATAATAGAATATTTATGATGCTCAATGAACAGTTTACAGAAATAAAAACTACCCTAAAAAAAAAAAGAAAAAAATTTGCAATTAAATTTACCAACAGAAAATACAACTGTAAGCATATATCAACAATTCCTTTATCATGTGGCACTCAAGAGCCTAGTAGCTGCTGAATAAAACCAAATTAGTCAATATCAAAAGTACAAGGGAATTACACTAAAGCCATACATAACCTCAGTAATAGCTGAGCCATCCGTAAATTTATCTTGGTCCCAAGACAAAAAAAATTAAACACACTTCCTGATAACCCATCTTGTTTGTAAACAGTTAAAGCTCCTTCACCTTTTATCATCCAGTCCTAAGCTAAATCAAGTACAGTCCAGTAATTTAAATAGCTTCCATATGAATAATAGGGCATCAATACAATTATGATTTTAAGTATAATTTCATTAAGTTACAGGATTATGACGCTATAAAATAAAGAATACGAAAGTTGGCAAGAACCAAGTTACAAAATGACATTCCTCGTCTTTGAGAGATTCTAAGGAGTTGGCTTAAAATAAGTTTTACAACCCAAAATAACTGAAATGTGCCGTTACTCCAGTTGTCTTCATGACATAAATAACAAATTCTTTAATCATCAACAGGTTACCATAAGAGAGCGAGAAGTAATTTAAAAGTAATTTAAATCAATTACCTTTACGGTACATGCCCAAACTGTCATGTTAGCAACACCACCTACCTCATAATGATCATACATCTTAATTAAGACTATATATAAATTGCATGTAATCTGCTTATTAGATGACTTCTAAGTTTGATCACAAACATCTTGGTCACGTAAATATCACAAACATGAAGACTTTGGTTATAGCATCTGACCAAATTCTTCTTACCAAAGATGATCTTCCTGCACAGTAGATATAAAAAATTATAATAAAAGATTTAAGATAATTTACTCTGGAATAATCCCACACATACAGTACTTTATAAGTTTCTTAAACATATGATTCATTACTAAGACAATACTGTACACCCCAGGAGAGGCCACACCAATCTAATAATTTAAAGGGAATTTCGTTATTTTCAGAAACTTTAAAACATAATACACTACTATATATATTTCATCAAATATTGAGCAATTGTAAGAAAAGAATATAAACATAAAAGTGAAACTAATTGTGACAACTACCAGATTAAATTATGTATAGACTTCTAAAACATGAAAACGGGGCATACAGATGTGTATTAAGGGGAAATCTCGAAATCAATTAAAAAATATTTGGTTTGTTACATGATCCTTATTATAATCCATCATTGTTATTCTTTGACACAAGACACACTTGTTCTGGGAGTACAGTAGTCATAATTCAGTCTGATCTCCCTCAAGTAGGCAAATAATTACAGTATGTGAGTTCTCTTAACTTAAAAGCTGAAGATGCACATGCAAAATATTTCCTAAAAATATAGTCAATGTGTGTGTCCACATACCAAAGCATATGAAATGCAAAAGCAATGCTCATATAATCTGTTAATCTATGCTACAATTCATCTTCTTCACTAGAATAGCACTGTCTGAAATGTTAAAGCATTAACCTGTTAGTAATTATCACTTCATGCTCAACATTTTTATGGAAAATTTTAGATTTATGTATTTAGCGCATGAGACTCATAGCTCCATAGTTACAAGCCAGTCTTGCAATGTTAAAACTCTTATAAAATGAAGATGTTGATCGGATAAGTGAAAATGAGACGCCATGTAATCATAAAACTATCCCTCAGAAACCCATAAAATTACCCTGAACCCATGAATGTCTTTCTGTGATTGAGTATGCATAATCACATGATATATGCATGTGCACATACATATACATGTTTGGTATAGATTTATGGATGTTTATGACTACATATGTGCCAATGTTTGTGTGGAAAAGCCTTTGTGTAAATGTATATTTATGTGCATTTGATATATAAATCAAAAGTACATGTTTGATTAATTGCACTTTGAAAAGCATATACAGTATTGCAATGTTTTAAACTGTATACCCAAAAGAACAGAAGAGAAACGCCCACTACATCTACTCTATATATATAAGTATTTTTCTTTACTCTACATTTCAACTAAATATGTTGGGTCATCCATATTAGGAACAAGTCCACCTGGAGCCAAGGACGAGGTCTGGAACACAAAATGTCTGTCGTCTTTTGGATTTTGTGGATGTAAAGACATAAATCAAATTTATATGAAACCCTCATAACTAAATGGTGACAGTCACAACACAAGCAAAATTTTGATTTTCTATTCCTTTGACAAAATAACATACAAATCTGAATACAGTAGCAGACACACACATATATATGCTATTGAACTGTTAAACTAAGTCACTTGAAGGCATTATAAACTGTGTGTCATGCACTAGGAGGCTATACTGTACTGTATTGTCTGGTGGGGTCTGCTGCATGTGAAGCAATTCTAGAAGTGATTTTTTTTTTTTCAACATTGGTCCCACTCAGTTACATGTATTAAAATTACTGAATTACCTGAACAGTATGAAAATCATTGTATATTGCCTATGCTGTACTATTTATATTCATTACTGTAGCTCCTTAATTAAATGAACCCTGTTTTAATAACTGACATGAAACTCTGAAATGTAAAGGAAAAATGAATTTCCTTTAATAGTTGAATATACAGTACTGTATTCTGTATCAGATTTCAGAATTTGCAGCCTAAAGCTACATTAAACTTGGAACCTACTGGGGCTGAAGGAGTGGTCAAAACATTCCTCTTTCATATGGCTTTAAAACATATGGCTACTGTTGAAAGTTACAATAGATGAGACATAGAAAACAAACTTACTTCACGGTTAAACAAATGCAAACATCACTATTGTATCAGAGAAGCGGTCTTTAAACTCGGCAGTGATAGAAAGTGTTCTATTACTGGTACCAATTCCATTCAGTTCATAAAGTATAGTTACGTTTATGTCAGGTGAGTGTACATGTCTTTTGAACTGACTGATCAAGGCAACCTTCTTTAGACACGACCTCACCAAGTACACACGACCGTTGCGGATAACACTCTCGTAATGACAGATTTTTTTTAAAAGATTCTTTCCCTAAATTTTCATTATAATCATACACCCAAGATGACTATAACATACAATTGATGAAACCCACTGGCCTATGTTATAATTCAGAACATCAACCTTAATCAATTGTGTTTCTAAGTAATATAAAAACATTTGATTCTTGACTAGATCCCCATAATAAGAAACAAAACATTTTAATGCCCATATAAAAAACTTTTATATATCCACAATTCATAATCATATCTTTAAGAATGATTGAAGTAAAAAAATGGTCCTTATCTCAGGCTGTCACAAGAAATATCTAAAAGTACTGTAATATCAATACAGCCCTGATGTACGGTTACTTGGTGAATAAGGAAGACAGCACAGTAAATCATCTTGGGATATCTTTACAAAATAAAAGTTTAGACATACAATCTTCCTAGTTTTCAAGCTATAATAATGGCTTGGCTTACAACATTTGCTCCGTTCAATCCTCATAACTACTACATGTACTTTACGTATGAGCTTTCCATATAAAAAAAAATAAAAATAAAAAAGATACACAAGACATACATTTTCCTACACCTGGACTAAGGGTTTGCAATTTTCACTTCTACTACTGTAACAGATCCAGATAAACTTGACTCACCACACTAACTTCCTATCCACCTTTCTTAAAATAGTCACCACATCACTGAACTCATCAAGGTAACAAGTTATTACACATACTGTATGTAAATTAGTCTCAATTTCACGAAGCTTACAGAACAAAATTTAATACAATACCTACAGAGACAGAGGAGCAATCCCGGACACCAACCTACAAAGACGCTCTCAAAAATTTTGCTTTCAGCTAAATTCTATAAATGTAATATAAAACAGATTTATTTCTTTACCCAGGAAAAACAATAATGAATGCATAATATCATAGGTCTAAGTTACGCATGTCCACCATCTACAAAGACTCCCACGACCGTGACCTTGATGACTTACATGGGGAGAAGCACTTGTTTGTAATAATAATAATAATCAATTGATACATCCTGAATAACTTGAGGTTTAAGAATCCTTTATGGTGAATGTGATTTGGTTCGAGTAAAAAGAGTAAAGATCCCTCTCTGATTCACCATAAATGATCCTTTATTTCACTAAAGTACTGTATGTAATATGTTGCTCCTAGATGATACTCAGTGACGCATTGTATTAATTCATATCTTGGGGTGTCTAAATATCACTGCAACTCACGTGTAATAGTCAAAGACACTGAGTAATATCTACATTTGTTTAACTGTAACCGAACACATTTAATTCCTGAACTACTTACTGTACTTCACAACAATTATAAGGTCCATCCATTCAGCTTTTAAGGTTTAGGTTATTAATACAGACACGAGGTCTGTAAACGTTGGTCCGTAGTACTCGATATTCTGCAATTATATTATGCTGGCTTCATCTCACCATCATCACTGATTCTCCTTACAGTAACAACATGTTATAATTATTCAAATAAGGAATATGTCTTACTGACCCAGTATGGATTATTGACACTTATGCCCCAATGGATGACACACTAGATTAAATGAGACTCATTAGAAAAAAAATTCACGTCTTATCACAATTATACCAAAGATTCAAGAAATTTTTTTATCGCTGGTGAATTATTTTCCCCAAAATACTGTTTAGTTAGAAAATATTATGACTGATCTCAAATGGGAATTGCAATGTAAAGAGCCCAGCCCATATAAACGATACACATGAATGAAGTTATACAGTATACGTATTCCACCAACGACGAACACACTGTATTTTACTTTTTCATAATCCTTTTCTTTCCTTAGAACATAAATCTACATAGAAGATTTAGAGCCATAGTCACATAGCGTATACTCCAATCCCAATGTGATCCTTATATGAAACTCGGCTTTTCAATCAGCTTTTGCACCTCTACGGTAACTTAATCAACATAAACTGACCCCAGGATTCACCAGGAAAACATTTTGAATTCAACTGCTTGGTGCTCTAAGCTTTATCTCTATAATTTTAAAGCTTATTTTACATTCCGTATCATAAAGCTAAGATATCACAACTGCAATTGTCCATTACAATACAATTTTACGTAATTCATTAAAAAAAATCCAAAACATGAACGTCCACATGACAACCTGGCAAATACAACTTATTTTGCATATATAATGTATTTTGCATCAGCTAATAATGGCAAAATCCAAATATTATTACAATACAAAAATGTAATGTGAGTATTTTGATTACTTGAAGTTGTGTCCAAAAACAAGGCAATAAAAATTGTAAGTAACAAGCTGCATTATAAAATATATCACATTCAAGATCATGAAATTATCCTCACAATCACTGACTATCCTGATTTAAAATTGAATTCCAGTAATCTGCAGTAATTTCCATGATTAATTAAGCATTCATTCTGTCTCTGTTACTGCCTAACCCTAAAAACTGCAGCTACCAGTGCAAAGGTACATATAAATCTTGATTATCTTTTAACCCTGTGATCAAGATCCTTAATTACAAAGGATATTGTTTACCATAAATTTCATTATCATCAACATGAAACTGTGTGTTTGTGTTTACATTCAAAAAACTTCATAATTGACTTACAAATAAACTACACAGAACATCCAACAGTTCAACAATCTAAGATAATTAAGATTCTACTAAACCAGCTCCTGGATAACTTTATAAACAACTCTGTGTGGTTCATACCAGCAGCATCTATACCTGTATCAATATAAGGCAGGCAGAACGAATCTCTACATTAATGACAAAGTCCCTTCTGTTTCGCAACATATTTTTGCTCCTCAGGATGAGAATGATACACCAAGAGCTATAGAAAAGTGTAGTGATACGTTCCTTGGATTACAGCTTTTCTGTGAGTGCCACGGCTAGATTCTTAACCTGCTCGTTGGCGTGACTTGAAAGTTCCTTGACAGCTGTCCGCAGATCATCAGTTTTGATGGACTCCAAGGCAGTTGCTGAAAATATGTAAAAACACTGTCAAGTCTAAACTGAGTTTCAATAATTAGTTAAAAGTTTAATACAGTATATTTGTAAAGTTTAGATAACCATACACACACACTGCTGGGCCCTAAAGTGTTTGGATTATTGAGCATTTAATGGACTATAAATACTGATCCCTATATTCCTCTTGAGACAACATCTCCAGCATTAAAGACTCCTGCAGTATATTAAGTTCCTGTGCTGCATTAGGTGTGCTCTGAGAACTAGTTTTAAAATGGTAGTTATCTATTAATTTTCTTCATTAACAATATTTTATTATTATGTAATAAAAAATTATTCCAGAGATTTCCACAATCTGTTGAAGCAAAAATGAGACAAAACTCACCATTAGCCGACAATGCCGTCATCATCGACAACACGTTGGCTAGGATCTCAGGCGGCAGGTAGGGATTCTTTACAACAAAAGTCACCACCTCTGCTAACTTGGTCTTCTCCACCACACTGTCAGTGACTGCCGTTCCAAAGACCAGCACGAGAGCCAGTGCTGCTTCATTCACCATTACAGCATGTTCTGACCCCAGCATGAGGACCAGTGGAGCGACACAACCAGCAGACACAAGTGACTTGATGATCGAGGTGTCCCCGCCACAGTTCTTGATGATCCACGCCAGGAGACGACTTGATTCTCCCTGCACGCCGGGGTGATCTGTGGTGCTGCACCAACCCACTAACCGGCTTACCACATCACTGTCGCTACCCACCTGTAAAAAAAACACCATAAGCTTTATAATTTTGAAACTGAAATGCAAACACAATAATAACTCTTATTCTTCCATCCCTCTATTTAACTTTTTACTTCATTAACACTATCATCATCACCTTATTTCCTTTAATTAACAAAAATTTTCCCTTTTCATTTATATCCTCTCCTTTTCAATACCTTCTATTTCTTACTAAATAGATCAGCTTATACAATACCTGTAGTTTTCTCCATCATCCTATGCCATGTCAGTCTGTCTTCACTTTTCCCAAAATATAATCTTCATCGACCAAACTTTTTAGGAGACAATATTGCTAAATTCTTACCTTAACAGCAGCATCAGTCTGTCCATCAATGATCATACGAAGAGTTGCTAAAAGTTTGAACACGACCGGGAAAGTCTCGATTGCAGTTGCCATGGGAAGGAGAACTTCAAGAGCACTCTGAAAATATACAGATGAAATAACTCAGTACCTTTATAATATACAGCAATAAATATAACTCCAGTACTGTATCTACCAATTAAACTTAGTACACACTGTAGCCTCCACATAACAGATAATTTGCTCCCATAAAGTTCATTAGTTGGAGATTTCATTATAAGGTTAACATTAGCAGTGCTCAACTGTTAAAAAGAATTTCTAAAAAAGAAAAAAGAAAAAAAATATCTTACTATAATTAGAAACATCAATTTACCTTTTCAAAATACTGTAATGTACAAAGTGAAAATAAGCAGCAGTACTTTCCTTGCTTATTTTTTTACCTTGTATTTGTACAGTTACTCTCTCTTATTTTTTACCTTTATATTTATAGTTATTCTCCCTAGTTTTTACCTTATATTTGTAGTTATTTTCCTTTGTATTTTTCTGACACAATAATTTCCAGTTTCTAATTATACAGTATAATAAACAGTATAATGTGCAATCTTGTAAGCTATGTACATACTTTATAACTGTGTACATTACAAACCAACAAACTCGACCACTACATGTCACGAGACTGAAAATGTGTACAGTAGCTACAGTACAGACATATATTAGGTCACTGCAATAGTAAGGGCACAAGCGATATTCAAAAAGATGTCACTTGCACCTTTACTACTGTAGTGACCTCATATATACAAATGAACAAATACAAAATGGGCATTCAGAGTCATAAACTGCCGTCCACCATATTGGCCGGTGGCGAGGGAAGGTGATAATTCTGAATACCACAAATAATCTTACAAACATACAATATATATGTAATAAAATAATTCAGAGAGCTACATACTTGAGTTACCAAGACTGGTTTATTCTCCTTGGCAATACTCAGATTGCGAAGAGCTGAGAGGAGAGCATGTTGCAGGCGGATGTCTCCCTCTCCCGAGTTGTGGCTTGAGAGGACCTTCAGTAACTTCTCCGCTATTCCGCTTTCCACCATTTGAATACAATGGGCATCTGTGTGGGGTACAAAACATATATAATTTTACCTAACATTTTCATTCTATAATTTCCTGCAATACATCTTAGTGAATTATACAGGGAAAGCTCTATTTAACGGACTATATATATATGGAGAGGAAGGACCACTATATCGAGGGTCCACTAGACGTGAACCCTCCACCTAACAAACTATATAGAGATGAAGGACCGTTATATTGAGGGTCCATTAGATGTGAACCCCCCACATCTAAATGGTGGTCTCACTGTAAAAGAAAATTCCATAATCATTATATAGTGAGTAAGAAATACTCGACTAAACCAGATGAATATGACGTGGTGTATGAGAGGAACACGACAACAGAGCATATTACTCTTTACAGCTCAGAGGGAACACATGACAGTTCATGAATAGAAATAGTGTGTGCCTTTTCATTCTATTTACTCCAAGTTGTACAATAGTAAGAAAGAGGCTTACAAGATCAAGAAAAAAAAAAAGACAGGTTGTTATTGAAAGTGCCATGTAAGGCAAACCAAATGAGAGCAACCACAATTAAATTTGAGAACTACAGAATAATTTTTAGATAAGAAAGATTTAAGCTGAAATACTATAAAACAACAATGATTACTGAGTCATCTGAGAACAAATGATTAGCCACTCAATATATCATCCACAAAAAAATAAAAATAAAAAACGATTAGGAGAGACATAAACACAGCAGAATAAATGATTGAAAGAAAAAACAAAAACAAAATTAGCTACTCAATCTATAAAAATAAATAAATAAATAAATAAAAACAAATTAAAATTACAAAATAAACGAATTACAAGCGAGACGTAAACACCAGCCAATATCTCACCACTTCGAGCAAAGTTCCCCATAGCCAGAGCTCCGGCAATCTGTAGATCCTCGAGGTCCGACGTGAGCCAATCCACCAACTCCTGGTACACACAGCCTGAACCATTGCCATACACAATTCCCATACTTTCATCTGCGGGAATATAAAAAATTGAAGCCCATTCAACGAGTGCTCTTAAGAAACGTATTTAATAGTTAGAAGCTTGGCATCAATTCAGATATGTTACTACAGAACTTAATTAATAAATATTTTAAACACATAAAAATAAAGACAGAACTATAATAATGAAGATCAAATCCACACACACCAGTTATATCACCTTAAACTACTGTACATATATACCTCACTAACCACCATGATCCTTATCTCTGTCTTTTATCATCTTCATCTCTGTCCTTTAGTCAACTATGAACTCCATTCACCCCCCCCTCCCCCGGAGATTCAGATTCGTAAACCCGAAGCAGTAGACCGATGATACATTATTCCGTCCATAAATGTTTCAGATTCATGAATCTGAATCTGAATCTCAGGAGAGGTCCATGGGTTCAGGGGAAGAGGTGATTGGACTTTAGTACATAGATGACTGTACAGTATCTCATCCCAACTTTAATCATAAACATTCAAGCTGTTAGTCTTTAAGCCTTTAATTCGGCGACATATGACCTAAGCTGTTGTGTCGCCAAGGAAGTAATTACAACAATCAATCAAACAAGTGTGATAATCTCTCTGCCCTCAACCCTACAACATACCTCCCACTAGTATGAGAACAATAAGATCAGTAGCGGTCTTGATTATGGGCGGGGAGAGATCGGAGCTCGGGTTGTTACGGTGGCGCCTCACTACTTCCACCACTGCCTCACACACTCCACCTTCAGCTACTTGAGTCTTGACACATTCTGAGGACATATAAAGTCATCAGTAAAGTAAATACTGTACTTATATACCTACCGGTAATCTCTTTATTACATTACTACAGGAAGCAACTATATAAAGACTTTCCAACCCTTCTTCAATGTAAAAGGAACAAGATCACTTTTTTGGTAATTTTTGCACTAGTATTTTCACGGTTTTTACTAAGGTTCAACAAATGAAAACTCACAATTTACATGTGCAAGAGACAACTGAGTTCTGACCAATATAATGTTGATGTTAACACTGATGCTGGAGTAGGTGGTGGAGTGAGAAGAGAGAGGTGTTGTGTGTCATTATTAAAGCTGTTTTCTATTCAAATAATGTAATACTGGGTATTTTAAATGAAAATATGTTCCCTAATATGAGCAAAATAAATAAAGGATATACTGTAATATTTCTCTCATAAAAATTAGGTTGTAAAATTTTTAACAAATACCTGGTAAGTTGAGTGAAAACACGTTACCGTAATGACAAGAAAAAGATTACTATCCCTACATCATATAAAAATCAAACCAAATTATACTGATATTCCATTTCCTCTTAAAGTTAAGGACAAAAACTGTAATTTACACGCTACCTGTTTCAGCGAGGTTTGTCACAAGTTCAAGGCATGTTTCAGTAACTTCAGGTGATTCATTTATTCTCAGGACGCGCACCAGATGTGGTGTAATGTCCCGTGATACTACCAACCCTCGTCCCACCTCTGCAAGACAATAAAATGTAAGTTAGAAAAACACTTGATAACTTGTGAAGTCTTTCCTGTTGTCCTACGTACAGTACATTACCTCAAAAACTTATAATAAAGATGGTGTTGCTTTTAATGCATTTATATGTCTCTTCCTGCTATGGTAATGCAAGGTGGCTGAACAAGAATTATACTGTAATATAAAGATTGATGAGCACATGAAGGGCAAAATATGAGACACTTGTTGTTTAATTACTGTACCTGTGTCTGCCATGCAAGTCAGTGAGAGAAGAACGTGAGTGGGTATGTCTTCATCTTCAGCAAATTTGTCGAGATATTGACACAAGACGTCTACCAGTTCAGCTTCCATAGACTGATCCTGTCAAGACCAGACAAAATTAATTGTAAATTAAAAGTACACAGGATATCACCCATTAGACCACTAAACTCTAATAAAATATTCAAAATAATTATTGTAAAAGATAATTCATAAACTTAAGATATATTCAATGAAATGCAAGATAATGATCCTCAAAATGGAAGAGTTAAGCATGTACAGTCTCATTCAAGATTCTTCGAACACTGCTGGAGAGAGCTGGCAACTCAAGGCCGTTTGTTTACTATAGTACGTAGTATAATATAATACGAAACAACGAAGCTCAACCATTAGTTAAGCAACAGGGAACTAAGTAGCCAATCACCGATAACCTTTTACATTCATTTATAATTTTTACTACGTACTATAGTAAACAAACGGCCTTGAGTTGCCAGCTGTCTCCAGCAGTGTTCGAAAAATCTTGAACGAGGCTGTACATTAGTCCCATTTTATAGCCAAGGTTTGAGTCAGACAAGTAACCTGTTATAATCTGCTGCTTGGAACAACCCCTCGGCAGAATCTGCTTTGTCTAACCATGTTACATTGAATTATGGATCAGTATAGACCAACCAACTTCTTACCTGTTGAACCATGTTGTAATTAATGCTTTTAACTCCTAGTCCCGTGGTTATTTTAAGTGCCAGAAAGGCTTCTAGTTCACCAGGACAACTCCCTAGTCAAATGGTGCTGTGGACAGTGTCTCCGTTGTGATGTTCTCCATGTAATTAGGTTTATATTCAAATACAACATGTACCTCATCTTTAACAATGAACTGTCTCTGATTTATTTATTTTCTTTTAAGTCCCAACTCCCAGGTATTTAGGAACCCAAAGACTTGGTTTCCGACTCATGATTCTGAGCACAGATAAATTCCCATGAATCTGATGAGACACAAGGTAATTTTGGGAGACATTGAAGATGTCTAATTCCTCACAGTTGACCTCACAGCTGAGGAAAGAGGCAAACACAACCTTATGTTTAATGCCATTTTAACAATAAAACGTCAAATCTTGTAACCGAGAAACCCAACTGACCTGGACTGTATCGTAAGAGTTGAGAAGGTTGAGGAGGAAGCCCGTGGCTACTAGGCGGAGCTGGTGATCGTCGGGAGTGTTGGGTAACCCGGCTGCACGTTGAAGGAGACTTAGGAGTTGACTTGCTCCCCCAGACTCCATAACACTCACACGGCCACCATCTGGAAGGAACACTGCAGTCAAGGAAATATTTTATAAATCTATCGATCAAATCCGCATAGATCACTCGGCACCTCTGATACACTTAATAAAATAAATAAAGAACATAGTGTATAGTATATACAAACACACTACCATGGATGTATTTTTTTATTGGCATTTTATCCTGACAACTTCTAACGTAAACTAAATATTTGTGTGTGGAAACGAGGCTATTAAGTACCAAATAACCATTCCTGAGTGGTATAACTCTGATAATTATGGTAAATAAATACCACTCCAGTACTGTACCATACTGTACTATGTCCCTGAACCTTACACCAAAGACTAGTTCATCCTCAGAGGCACAAACTGTTGGTAAATCTTCGCTTAATTCAATACCAGTACTGTACTCACACTGTCTATGTAGCACTTTTCTGGGAAAAGAGAACACATACAATAGTTTTTTATGAACTGAGTGAGTTCTCTCAAGTTCAAGACCAACCTATCCATTTCTAGAGTGAAAACTGAGAGCTAAGCACTGAAAAATTCTGACTAGGTAACTTAAAGAATCAATAGCTTCTCCTAGTTCACTAAGAGGCCTGCTCTAGCTAACAAGGAGGAAAAAATCTATGGGTATCATGATTAACCTTCCAGGATGAGCCCAGTAGTCCATCTTAAATATAAGCATTAAAGACGTACAGTACAGTATACCACAAGGTAAAGTAAGGTCTTCTCTGACACTGTTATAACTATATCTTATGTTCCTCATTCAAGCACTGGGTTATGTCTTCACGTGAGAACACTAACTGAAGGCCTGATCATGCGTGTTAGTTTTTCTTTTACAGAGAAACAATAAAAGCAGACAATGAGAATACGGTGTTGCAGTATTAAAAAATTAAAAATAAAGAGCCCTCAGAAATATAACAATGAAACTGTACTGTCACTGTTGCATCTGCTTTATATTAATTTTGAAACACAGGATAAATTGTGGTAGTCAGGTAATTTCATAATATAACAAAATAAGACAAAAACCATACTAAATGTGTACATTATATATGCGCGAGTCTTCAGTGAGGTTAATTGTCCAACCATCTAAGTACTGTAGTAGAAGGGGGGACACTCAGGAGTCAGGTCATGCATGCACCAAGCTTCGCACACACTGAGACATAGAGCTCAAACACAAAAACCCACCCACCATGTTCATAGCAAATATTCCCCAGTGCTCGACAGGCCTGCAGAGCCACCTTGGTGTTGCTGCTTGACATTTTCTCAACCAAGATCGGCACCAAACCATTGGTCACACATCCTAAACGACAATTTTCAACCTGAGGAGGAGAACCAGCATATTTGTTAGCTATTTTGGCATGGTTAGGTTAGGTTAGGAGTTTCAGCATATGTGTAAGTTATTTGGTTAGGTTAGGAGACTCAACATATGTGTAAGTAATTTGGTGAGGTTAGGTTATTCAGCATATGTATAAGTTATTTGGTTGTGTGTGTAACTGTTACAATAATCTATCACCTACCTCTCAATAACTTTAATGTCATAAAAATCTGCTGAAGACTATTATTTAACATTAATATTGTTTAAAAAGTACTTAAACCTTAAACTGTAATATGTATATTGTGCATCAGACAGCAACTTGCATCATATCATAATAGTTTCATGCCACCATTTTGAAATTACAGTACAGTACATGCCAAGATTTGCACTCAATCAGGGCATTACACATCTCAAAACACATCCCACACTTCACCCGGCCCTCAGTTATCTTTCAGTCATCATGGAAGACACATGTTCGTCGTCATTTGGTCCACACACCCTCACTAAAACACCACAATGGCAAAATAAAGGTAGGTAGAGGATTTTTTTCCCATTTTTTTTGTACTTAAACTGCTTCAGGATGTAAAACTTATCTTTCAAATCACAGTTGTAGATAGTGAATGCAACAAGTTCATAGAATTTGTTATTTAAATTTAAATAATTAATAAAATCTGGACCAAATTTCTGTAAGCTACAGTATTGAAAGCAGATTTCTAACCCAGATACAGTAACCAACATCACCAAATTAGCTACACTATTCAGTACAGTACCTTGGCCAATTCAGCCACTAGTTCTGCTCCCTTGGCCTGTGCTTCTGGTGAAGAACTTTGGATGGCCTTAACAGTGAGTAGCAAAACTCCTCCTTTAACCAACTCTTCACAGACTGTTGTGCTGTCCTCTGAGAACAAGTGAAGGTAAATAGAATTAAAATTACAATAGGAAATGTCATTATTTATAATAACCACTGTATAGTCAGAGGCCAAAAGTTCACTTCTTCCCAAACTGAAGCAGCATCAACCCCAAATGAGATAAAACAGCTCACATTGTTACCAGATAACAGTCAAGGTAAGTCAGTTCAGAGACTCATTCCCACCAATCACTTTCACTATGGGGAGCCACGACTGTATGTGCAATTGTCCTTGCCGCCTCTCCACTTGCTAAAACTAATATTGAAAACTGATGACTGATATATAATATACTAAGGGAGATGTTTGCATTCCAGGAACCTTTACTTTCACAAAGCTCACCGAGACAATTAATCAATTTTACTTATAAAGATTCATCCAGATTCAAGAGCTCAAAACAGTAATGAACTCTTTATCTGCAGTTACTCACCCAGTTCATGGAGCTGGTTGATCAAATCTTCAAAGGGTCCGGGCGTTGGTTCACCCGTGTTCACCCGCAACTTCTCAAGGCTTGCAGTCAGGTCCTCTGATGTAATATGTTGTTAGAATCAATAAAAGTTCATTATGTACAGGGTACTTCCACAAAATCAAAGATCAATCAGGTTATCTCGTTTAGCATCTTACAAACATAATAAAAATCTATGAAAATTTTGGATGATGATTTCAATGACACACACACACACACACCAGCATCTTTAGTTCACTTTATCCTCTTTGTCACTGATCGGCCGCATATTTCTTAACAAAAAGAAAGTCAGGGATACATTCAAAAGCCAGTGCATGCCCAATACTTGCCAACAGTGTGTAACAGAGAAGTGACCGACCGCCCAAGCAGCAAACGAGCCGATCAGTGGCGAAGAGGATAAAACTTAAGTAAAATTAACACCCAGAATAAGAAATATAATATTCCTCCACCCCATATGGTTTATTCTTGAGGTAATAAATGAGTTTTCTTCAACAGGTAATTTCTCACAGGTGACTGGGTAATATGAGTGACTGTCCTTAAATATTACTCAAAACTTTTTCCTCTGGCCAATTGTCCTTAATACCTCTTTAACTTTTCTTATCTGGATGACTTTATCTTACTGAACTATTAATTAGTATTTACAACTTTTTTTGGTATTAGTTTTGGTCACCTGGGGAATTGGTTAGATTACATTTGGTTAGGTTAAGTTAGGTTGGTTAGGTTAGTTTGGATATCTCAATAAAGGGATGACCGATATTATAATTTAAACAATGAAAGATTTTGGGGAGTGGTATTAATAGGAAAAATAAATATCTTGTTTTCAATTCTTATAATAATAAATTCATGAAAACAATTTATAAAAAGAGAAGGAATGTGACCCAGAGTTTATAAATTTCCATAACATTTGTGGGAATTATTGTTATTAACTTTACACTGTAATACTTTTTTTAGTCCCAACTTTAAGAAACACATTTTTTAATACTTTCTTAAAAAAAAAAAACACAAATCTTGGCTGTCAACTTTTACTTTTACTTGCTTAACTGGTAACTTTTTTTTTCAACATAATATTGATGAAGAAGACGTTAAGGCATTACAGTGAACCATTACACCCCAACATGTATGACCACTCCTGCTCACCCATGATGATGTATCTTCTCTCGTCCAGTACCACTACTTGATCACTCTAAGATTTACTCTCGCCACTGCCACGTCCTGCGTCCTACTCCTTCCTGTCCTCACAGCTCGCTGACAATCACCATGGAACACTAATGACGAGGCGGATTTCTTTGTCCCTAAGGGCAGGCAACCGTCAGCTTGATCTGTCCGTGGCAGGACACGCCTCTGTCGCCCAGACACTCCCCTCACGTCACGATGTCTACCTCACCTTCCACGTCTAAGCACTCTATCTCTTAGGTGTGCGCTGCCGTAGTGCCAAAACTAAACTAGCGCATTTGGTGACTCAAGACAAGCCATATGACCAGATTTTCAGACCGGTTTGACGATTTGTCAATGATTGTTTACACGATGAGTCATCCGAGACTCAAGGCAGCATCTTCATAGCTTGCAATGGCAATGAGACGATAGGAGTCTCGAATGCTTGTACTCGGGGAACAGGTGAGCCTAACATGAACTTGTGTATAAAATTAATTTCAAACTATATTAACGATTAATAAATGAAAGCACTAATATGCGAGCATACAGATATTTAAAGAAGACAAAAACGTATTCTTAATTCCTGTAGGAGCGTGTAATTACGTCAAAGCACAGGCAAGACAGATTAGCATTCACTTAATTCTGCCATTCGTAAAGACATTATAGAGACTTAAAATAAACTCTATATTTTTATTATACACTACATTTGCAAGTCACGGATATAGACTGTACTTAACCATCGATAAAATATGATTTACTTTATTTCTATGCGAGGCGTCTTTCCTTGTAAAAATGTGTCCATATTAAGTTAATATTATACACTTACATGCACATATGTCATGCTATTACAACAAATCCACTAAGATAATTATTAATTAATGTGGATATAATAATAGCCACGAGGCAGACGCTGCAACACACGTGCATTCTGCATATGAGTCATTCTGTACACTAGTGATCCCTCACCACTAATGTCAACACCCGGCGGCCGCTCCCATGTTGGCAACACTGTGTCTTGTTGGCCACACCCTCCATGTATGGTGGTACCCAACTACCCAAAGTCCTACACCTTTCATTTTATATAGTCACACCATATCCCTTGTTAACCACATCCTGCATATTGATGGTCACACTCTTCAAGCTCTGGTTGGTTTATTTCTTGTAAAATCACGCCTATGTGTTGTTTTTTTGTCGTACCCTTTATGTTGTTGGCTATGCTGTCTTTTTAGCCGCACCCTTTACGTTTTTAGTTGAACTCTCTTATTAGCCACATCCCTAATGGCTACACTCTCTTGTCAACATTTTTCTTTGTGACCATTAAACAGTAGTGGAGGTGGAACACGGGGAACGGCGTTACCTTACTTTTTACTTCTGTGACGCTTGGCACCTACGAAATTTTTTTTTAATACATAAGTTCCGTTTTACTCCTCAGTACAGATGAATAGCCCCCCCCCCCCTTCCTATGACCGGTGGGGAGGCGTCAAACCTGTGGGCCAGAGACACACAGTCTACACCTGATAGCTAGATGAGACACAGTAGTGACACTCTGAAGCAGCTGAACAGACATAAGGAATTTCGGAACGAGACGTAAAATGTCCATAGACTTTTCCCCTAAAAGTCTATTAACATTTTGCGCCTCGTTCCACAACGCTGTATTTTTAATCTGTAATTAACTAATATTTACTTCAATGTATGTTTAGACAGATATTCCAGCCTATATTTTTGCATAAGATAAAACGAAGCAGGACTGTATATAACACTGTTACACTAACAGCGATATAACAAATATCCAAGGGTCCGGCTGTAGTAGACTGGTTCCCTGCTGTTAATATTCGTGGACAACAGGTATGGACCGACTAAACGGCCTCTCATTGATGGAGTTATCGGCAAAAGTGGTCAATATATATGGTACAGGACAATTCGATATTGTTTTTTGGTTTCTATTGATAATTTCAGACACAATTTTAAGACAATTTTCTTCTGTGGCGTATTCCTCTCAAATGGCCCAGAACTGAGATATTTAATATGCCTTGGATCCACACCCCTGTTTGGGAGTGAGGTGCAATACAGGCATAGTCTTTGGTGTAGGTTATGTACTGTAGCTTTGTTTGTTGAGGTATCTTTAACGGGATTAGCTCACCCGGGCATCGGTCACTGACCCACATCAGGGCCTGGGGACGAAAATATAATAATAATAATAATAATAATAATAATAATAATAATAATAATAATGATAATAATAATGATAATGATAATAATAATAATAACAATAATAACAATAATAACAATAATAACAACAATAACAATAACAATAATAACAATAACAATAACAATAACAACAATAATAATAATAATAATAATAATAATAATAATAATAATAATAAATAATAATGATAATAATAATAATAATAATAATAATAATAACAATAATAATAATAATAATAATAATAAAAATAATAATAATATTTAAAAAATCAATAAATACTGATAAACGATATACATTATCTATGTTGTGTTGTCAATAGTAAGAGAAACAATAATTGTAACCCTGCAATTGTGTGTAAATGAGGCAGAAAGTCAGATCAAGAACCTGGGACTTGGTCACATATGGCAGCAGGGTCTACCATTAGACAATACATTATGCTTCCAATATCTTCCCAGGCGGTAGTACCTCCCTGTTTGATAGCTGCCTACCACCTACTACCTGTTGGTTAGAATAAGCGATATTTCGATTTGGAGTAAAATGCGCCAAAAATGTCATACAGGAAAATCGTCTTGTTTTTGTCTGAACTTATCATTAGTAGCAGCAACAAAATGACAACAACTAAATATCGAAGTACTGTATGTGCTCTACAATAAATTTGACCGAACTATTAAAGTAAATTACATTGTCTTTGTATTAAGTGTAATAGTAATACTATCTGATTATTTCTATTAATAAGAATCTTTTTATATTTATTGCTAATAAATCGTTATCGTTTATATTACAGGATTTAATTTGTTGGGTTACTTATGGAAAGTGTAGTTGAGTGATGCGTACCTGTTGTCTCAGTAAATGATAACAACGGGAACCAGAGTAGTTGTGAGGGACGTGTGAATGGAAGTTTGTGTTGGGTCGGTTAGGGAAATATTTTGGTGACTTGAGCTAATAACCTTAACTTAACCTTAACCTGAAATGATATTAATCTAACTCATCCTTAACCAGAATTAAACTTAACCTAACTTTACCTGACATGTCCTTCACCTAACCTAACCAATTATACGGTTACTTCATGGTTAAATATTATGGCCAAGGCCTGGGATAATATTAAACGGATCACCTGAACATTAGACACCCAAGCTTATTTTACCTGATGATTAGGCACCCCAGCTTATTTCACCTGAAGATTAGGCACCCCAACATTTCCCCCCTGAAGATTATGCACCCCCAGTTTATTTCGCATGAAGATTAAGGCACCCTAACTTTTTCCCTTGAATATTAGGCACCCCAGCTTATATTTCACCTGAAGATTAGCACACCATTTTATATCACCTGAAGATTACTCTCCAATGTTTTCCCACCTGAAGAGTAGGCACCCCAGCTTTTTCCACATGATTAAATACCCTAAACTAACTTAGTTTTAGTTGATAAACAGTCATTTAGAGAAGTAAAATAAATGGATAAATAAAAACTAATAGGAAATACTAAAATGCAATTTATACTAAAGTAAATAAATGGAAATTAATCACTGAAACAATGAATTAGTAAGCCTCTGTTATGTTATTATTACTCAGAGAATTACACACGGTATCACTATCATTAAAAACTCTCGCAGAAATAAAAACAATCGATGTGAAAGATACCTAGACATACACTCTTCCCTTAATCAATCCAGTTAACCTTAAAACTCATTCTCTGTGCTGCTTTGCCTCCTTCAACATTTTCAGTTCGCTCCCAGGATGTCTTTGGTGTGTAATTCATAATCGATCCGTTGTGCCAGTAAAAGTAAAAAAGTTCATTGGCTTCATTTTATGGAACCTCTGCACAGGCTGGAACACATGGAGTAAAGGAAGTATAGACTTGTTTGGGGATTACTGGCCACTTCGCCTTTAGGCTATTTCGGCCTAAGTATAGTGTGGAGCGTTCCGTAAATAGAAGATATCGATGGTCATTTCGCGTTGCTCCCGTAGTGAGAGGCTTTATGGTTAGATCGACAATTCTAAGGGCGAGGAATCGAGCCCGATTTGGCGGGGATTTTCCACTCCTCAGCCGGGTTTGTTGCTAAAGTCTTCTAAAACTACCACAACAACAGGTGGTTCTAGAAACGGATTCATGCAGTTACTGAACATCTACTCCAATATGTTTGTAGTAAAATTAATATTCAGATGTTAGTATCGATATTATCAATATTATCTTGCATACATTTATCCGGATAATGATGAAATTATGTTTATTAGCAAATGACCGATTGGTGTCCGCGACAATTTATGTATATATATTCTGACCAATCTTGTGATTAACATTAGAGTGATATTATAATACATTGATTATTCTATAACCGATTATATTACAGTATATTCATTTCGCTAAAGTGCGGGAGAAGCGCGAGTCCAGCATTATTGGAATGGAGGGGTCGATGCGCAGATACCATGCGCAGTGATGACATTTGAGCTCAGACATCCGTAGCATCAGAGAGTGATCGGATGTGTCGTCGGCGTTGCAACTTAGTTCTCTTCTCGTACAAGCATCGCAAGCATCACAGCTCCGTGTATCCACCATGAGAATCTATAGGTTACTATGTCGTCAAGCTCGAGTTCTCATGGAAGAGAGACTCGATTATTACTCTCAATTTAACCCTTCACCGTTGTCCATGCAACAATTCACGGATTTTGGTGAGTGAGACATACTGTACGTTTGTTTTTTGTTTTTATTTAAAATCACCGAAATTTTATTTGTTACTAAGTAGTGAAACTGTGTGTGAGCAAGTAGTTCATATATTGTCACTGAAGGTTCATTTGCCCCTGGTACCGCCGCCACCCGCTCCCTGCTTTATGTTGCTGGATTTCTCACGTACTCAAAATTTTCAAGGAATGAATTCATGATGCATTGTACTATTTTTATTCTTGCACCTTACAATAATTGTTTCATTACATTATATCCTTGGTACTGATAGTAGTGAAGGCTTCCTGGTCTCAGTTGTTGTTTTTATATTTTTGGGGAGACAGTGACCCTGAAGGTGTTCATAAAAACGGGGTTGCACAGTCGTTGCTATTTGTACAAGAACATTCGTCTACACACTTGGTCACCGAAAAGTTGTCCTTATGTAATACTTTATAAGATCCTGAAGAACAGGATCATTTTAATTATATATGTGGCTGGTGATTTCATCAAACGAGATGACCTGTGATACGTAATTGTTGACGGGTCATTAGGTAGTTTACCAAAGTTAATGGTAAACATCAGCCCTTTGTCCTAATTATCAAGGTGAGCACTGACTGGTTACTTCCTTGTTCATCTGTGACTAGTCTTTCTGTTAAAAAATTACTCCTATACTGATATTTATTATGGGAAAGTTAGAGTAAGCCAGTAAGGTAAGATTAGACAGCAGTGTATTTCACTCAGATTAACAACTGTAGCGCTTGGTAGGTTTGTATAATTATGTAATGTTCCTACTTGGTAGTTGTGTACATTGTCAATAGTATTTTTATTATTTCTAAATATTTGATTGTAGTTATTTATTATATCATAGTCAACTAATTCAAGTCGCAGTGTGGCATATGACAATACACATTAGAACCACAATTGGAACAATGGTTTTTTGTTAACACATGGTGTTAACTTAAGAGTTTTGTTCGTACCCAATACCCAAAACTACCATCATATTGTTATTTTTTATTTACTGTACATGTGATGACTTCCCAATAAAATTGACCAATCACTTAAGTTACTGCTAGGTTGGTTAATCTAGAGGTATATTTAGAAATAAATTATATATTGATTTGACAATGATGTTTGTAACGAGTTATTTGTCTCGTTTTACTAGTTCATGGGAGGTGCTGGTGGAATGGTGTGTGTGTGTGGTAATTATATACATCCCTGGCGACGCAACACTTTAGATCATAATTATGTAGCTGATGTTGGTGTAATGATAAGAGTCCTTCCCTCCAGGTCATCCCATGGTTTAGAAAAGTTATGAAAGGAAGTTGGTCAATTTGAACTTGTATTGTTGAAAGTGACTGGCAGATTCACCAGTCTTAACAGTATACATTGAAGTACCTTTTTAGGTAAGCCGTTAATGAAGACTGTACGAGAAACGAGTTTTGCTTGTTCTTGTGTATGTGTATACGACCGATATCAATCAAGGAAGCGGTGTACGTAAGAATGGAGGAAACTGCAGCATGCCTATTGGCCCATACTGGGCAGTCCCATTTACACCCAACCCCTATTGCTCATATAAGCATCCAACCTATGTTTGAAGCTATCCAGCGAATTCGAGTTAATGATGATATTTGGTAACTAGTTCCATTCATCCACTACTGTTTCCAAACCAGTGTTTACCTATTTCTCGCCTAAATCTAAATTTGTCTAATTTAAAACCATTGTTACGAGTTTGCTCTTGGTTGGATAGTTTGAGTACCTTTGTAATGTCCCCTTTGTTTAGCCCTGACTTCCATTTGTACACCTCTATCATGTCGCCCCTCGCTCTACGTCTCTCGAGGTAGTGCAAATTAAGATGCTTTAATTAACTGGGGTACCTAGTGACAGCACTAGGATCCCGCTTCCTCAATCAAGGAATAAACAATTGAAATTGATGCTTTAACCTGTCTCTGTACTCAAGGTTCCCAATGCCCGGGATTAGTCTTGTCGTTCTCCTCTGAATTCTTTCCAAGGATTCTATATCCATTCTGTAATACGGTGACCGGAACTGAACTGCATAATCCAGGTGAGGTCTTAAGATGACCTCGCTAGTCTTGTAACTAACACTCCTTTCTATGAACCCAAGTACTTTATTAGCCTTGTTACGAGCAAAAACACATTGTTTACTTGGCTTAAGATTCTTACTTATCATTACTCCCAAATCTCTCACAGTCGGATTTCACAATGGCATCGTTGTTCATCTGTTAACTGGTTTCCCTGTTTACATCTGTACTAAGTACTTTACATTTGTTCACATTGACTTTCATCTGCCAATTTTCAGACCATTCGAATTTTTTTTTAGATCTTTCTGTAGTTTTGCGGAGTCCTCGTCAGATTTAATTACACGTCCTATTTTAGTGTCATCAGCAAATTTACTTATGTTGCTGTCTATGCCGATATCAATGTCGTTTATGTATATAATAAATAATAATGGTCCAAGTACTGAGCCTTGGGGAACTCCACTAGGTAGGTATTGAGGGATGGTATCTGTGGATAGTGGGGAAAACAGAAAGTGGTTAGGTGTACACACGTGGTGGTGGGACAACAGGGTGCTTGAACATGGGTTTACAATTTCATGGATGATGGGATAATGAAGTATTGTGGATGTACTTTAGTGATATCAGTGGTTGTTTGAAGACCAGGGAAGTGTAATACAGTATAAGGATTCAATAACGATAGCTGTTTGGGTGGATATGTTGGGAACAAGGTCGCACTGAAGTGTTCTCTCTGCTGGTGCTCATTGTACAGTACCTGGTGGCGGTAGTCCCCGTGTGTTGTGTCACATCTGAGAAAACCCATGGGACGTATGTACAAGCGTAACTGGATATTCTAATTAAAAGTTTTCATGCCCTCATATTTTTCTCGCTCCCATACTTAATATTTAGTTTGCTGTGCAGTTGGTGAAATTCATGTGGGTTCTACTATATTCTTTCCGTATCAACTTGACATTGTGTAGTTTTCTAGATGTACTGTGTCTAGGTTTAATAGGTTATGATTTATAGGTTTTGGGTGTGAGATGCTGGACACGTTGCATATAGATAGGGTGGGCGGTGGCTGGTGAAGAATGTCTTGGCGGGTACAGCTGCCTGCCAGTTAGGACACAGTGATCTTGGCACGCCAGAGGTGGTATTGGTATTAAAGGAGGCTTGTAGCCTGGCAATGTGCCGTGATTCTTTTGCCAAGCTCGTGACGTGTTCGGTGCCACTTGCCATTTTTGTTGTACCTGAATAAAATGTAATATTATGTTTATATCTGCCTCGCCTTCGTATGGTTACTTTACGCATCGGGTGATTTATCCGTCTTAAGTTATAATATATGATGTCATTGTTGTGCTCCCAATGATGCCCTGCTGTATATATATATATATATATATATATATATATATATATATATATATATATATATATATATATATATATATAATACCATGGTCATATGACTTCAATGACTTCACTTTCCATAGTTAACAGTATGGCGGGTAGCGCTATTCCGTGTCCCCATGTTGTGAACATTTAACGTGATAATTTACATCACTAGAGCCACGAATTTTGGTGTATAGAGAACTATACCCTGTAGTAATAACGGTACCCCAAGAGCGTGTCCTGGCTTCAGCTGGCCTTGGTGTAGTTGGATTAGGCTTGTGATTGGCTGTGGTGAGGGCTGGGTTTGGCTCGCTTCAGTGTGATTGGTTGGGCGATCTCTGGCTGTGGAGAGAGTGCATGTTTACTAATATAAGTCTTCTTCATTGCATTATCATATTGCCAGTTGATGTTTTTGTTTGACATTATTACTAAGTTTAGGTAGATCAAGTCGGTTATCTTGTAAAGGGGAAGTAAATGTTGGTGGGAGGCGGGGAAGGCAGTCGGGCGGGCAACTGAACCCAGGAGGGAGGGAGGGAGGGAGGATACGTGGCCTAGCACCATGTTCTTATCGTCTGGCCAGGTTTGTTTTGGCAGTTAGAAATGTATTGCTGTACTCTGTGACTCCGGGTACACACACACACACACACACCCTCTCTCTCTCTCTCTCTCTAATGAAATAAGTACTTGGTGTTAATGGGCACACACATTGTAATAAATCTTGCTGCTTGGCATATGTGATTTTTCCATCACCAGTCTTGCTAACCCGCCCCTCAACCACGTCATCTTATTTGTCGCATTTTAGTGGTTTTTTTTTATATCGGTGCCGTGTGTGTGGTTACTACAGTATGTGTGTGTGTGTTGGAGATCTTAATAGTACAGTAGTGTGTTCGGGGAATGTACTTGTTGATTCGTGGATGTAAAGCGCCCAACATAATTGTGATTGTACGTGTGGGTGGCTGGTTGGTGTACGTGCGGTTCCTCTCGTTGACATATACCTGGTAGGCGCGCGGTCATTGTGGTCATGTTCCCGATGTTATATACTGTATATATGTGTCCATTAACGCCTGTTGGTAACCCGAGTCACACACACACTGAAGGATGAAGGATACCAATAACATTAGGGTACACAACGATAGCAATTTAGGGTATATATACCCGGAAGAGTGGCAGCTGACTGTACTCATCGTCGTAATTTGCCTCACCTGTTAAATTTCACTTCACAAACGAGAGTAATTTGTTATTTGCAAACAGAATGATGACATTATCTTGGGTCCAGGTGAGACAGTGAAGAGAAATGTGTGGATTGAGTGTTTGGAGGTGAGAGAGTGGTGGGTGGGTTAGTATGTCCAGGGTCACTTGAGCTCAGTGTTCGGTGGCCGCCAACCAGGAAGAAAGTAGTTCTCCAATTAGTTTACTCATTTATATAACGTCTTGCGATGCTAACTTATGCTACCTTATACACCGTAGACGTGTTCATTACTAGGTTGGGTTTAGCTTAGGTCACCTTGATGTGGAAATAAATGTTTGGACGGAGAGATACGGTGACGTCACAGCGAACCGAATCCGTCATGCGTAGATGGCGCTAAAAAAACTTTCCGAATTAAATCACCGAT